CGGATCCAAGAAATCCGCGCGGAGCTCCACAAGTGTATGTTTACGGCGTTTCTTCTTATTATTATTATTCTTCGAGTCGCGCGCTTCGCTGGCCGACGAGATCGCGGTGTCGACGGCACGCTGCCTCGGCGCGGCGCTGCAGCTCGGGCACGCCACCCTCACCGCAGCCGCAGCGGCGCGGACGCCCCTGCGGCGGCGAGCCCACCTGCTGCGGGCGTGGCCGCGGGCGGCGGGGCGTCGCGCGCTGCCGCGGTGGCGGCCCCGACTGCAGAGACGCTGGCCCCGCGGCGCCCTACGGCACGGCAGTCGCGGAGGCTGGCGAAACGTCGGGGGGTGCTAAAGGTGTCCCTGGCCCAAGGTGCCCACAGCGTTTCGCTCAATTTTGGAGCCTCTGGGGCCCTCTGGGCCGCGTGAGGGGTGCTCTGGAGGCCTTGGGAGCCTACTTGGAAATCCTGGGGGCACCTTGGGCCAGGGGCACTTCTCGCAACATCCGAGAACGGGCTGGCTCTGCGACGCCTGCGCGGACCTCTCGAGCGGCGCGCCAGTCCCTGGCGGGCCTTCGGCCGCGGCGCCGAGCGGCGGCAGCGGCTAACCCCTGCTCACGACAGCGGCCTTGGAGCGCCGCCTCCCCCCCGCTCTGGAGCCAGCCCGGCGCAGGGGGGCGGTGGCTCCGACACGCGGCGCTGCAGGCCAGGACGCCGCTGCCCAGCGCGGCCGCGCGCGAGCCGCATCGAGCGCGGGCTGCCGCGGCGCCGAGGCCACTGGAGCCGCCGCCGCCGCGGCGCTGGCCGCCGCCGCGCGCGCCGCCCAGGCCCACGGCGAGGCCCAGGGCGCCGATGGCGGCGCGGAGGAGGCCAACGGGGCGGGGGAGCTGAGGGCCCGCCTGGCCCAGAGAGCGGCGCAGCGGCAGCCGCAGCACCGCGGCCGCGGCAGCCTCTCGCGCACGGGGCGCCGGAGCACCGGCACGGAAGTTCAAAGATTGTTCTGGAAATGCTGGACTTGCCTGGAGATGGCGCGGAGGCCGCCTTGGCGGCCCTAGCGGCGGCTCCAGCGGCGGCCCCAGCAGGCCCAGCGGCAGCCCGGCCAGTCCCTGCCGGATCGCCCCGCCGCCGCGCGCCCTCGATGGTGGAACGTGCCGTTCGACCCGACCCACCGCCTGTGGGTGATCGACACGCGTGCGCGGCGGCTCGTGTACTGCGCGGCTTGCCAATGCTGCGCCGACGGGCCGCGGGTCGTGGGCCTCCGCGTCCGCAGCGCGGAGGAGGCCGAGCCGCCGCGCTGCACCGCATGCGGAAGGCAATGCATCCAACCAAGGGCAGCGAGGCCGCCGTGCTGGGCGGCGGCAGGCCCGTGCCCATGAGGACGGACGAGGGCGGCCGCCTGCGGAGCCGCTCGCCGCGGCGGTGAGCAGCCCGTGCAAGGCTCCGCCGCCGCCGAGGCGGCACCTCCGCGCAATGAAGCTTCCCGCTGCCACACGCGCAAGCCAAAGTGCCCACGGCGCGCCGCGCGTGCGTGTGCGCCGTCCTCCTCTCCTCCCCTCGCCTGCCCTGCGGGCCGTCGCCTTGCTGGGCTCGGCTCGAAATTCTGCGCGGGGTCGGCCTGGGCCTCGCACTGGCCCTGGCGTCCCGCGTCCATGTGGTCCTTGAGGCCTCGGCCTGCGGGCCTTTCATGTGGGCGACCTGCCTGCGCCCTCCTCTTCGGCTGGGTTCGGTTCGGATTCATCGGTGGCGCCGGCCTGGGCCTCGAAAGGCCCTGGCACGCCGCCGCGGGCCCGTTGTCCTCTGGTCGTCGGGGTTTTCGCAGCGGACGCTTGCCATGGGCCCTGCTGGCCTCAGACAGCAGGGTCGGAGCGGGTACACGCCTGTCTGGCTGGTGGCCTCGAAGGGCCCCAGACCCTGCGCACAGAAATTTAGCACGGCGTGGATGGACCCGCTCCCCGACCTGTAGGCCGGTACCGATCATCATAATCAATATTATTATCATCAGCACCACCATCGCCACCACACCACTACCACCACCACCACGACCATCATCATCATCATCATCATCATCATCATCAGCAGCAGCAGCAGCAGCAGCAGCATCATCAGCAGCAGCAGAATGAGCAGCAGCAATAGCATCAGCAGCCGCAGACGCATCATCGTCGTCAGCAGCAGCAATACCATCTCCGCCTTCCTCTCCTCCTGCTCCGCCTTCTCCTCCTCCTGCTCCTCATGCTCCTTACAATATTCCTAATAATCATCATCAGCATCAGCAGCATCAGCATCATCATCATCACCACCACCACCACCATCATCATCATCATCATCATCATCATCATCATCATCATCATTATCATCAGCAGCAGCAGCATCGTCATCGTCATCGTCATCGTCATCATCATCATCATCATCACCACCATCATCACCACCATTATCACCACCATTGGCATCCTCTTCATCGTCGTCATCATCAACAGTATCAAAATAAGCATAATAAACAGCAGCGGCATCCTTATTGTCATCATCGTAATCATCATCCTTATCATCATCAGCATCATCCTCATCCTCATCGCCATCATCATCATCATCATCATCATCATCATCATCAGCATCATCATCATCATCATCTTCTTCTTCAGCATCATCGACAACACCATCATCAGCATCATCACCATAACCATCGTCGTCGTTATCATCATCATAGTCCTTATCGTCACCGTCATTAGGATCTGCATCAGCAACATCATCGTCATCAGCATCATCATCATCCTCATCATCATCGTCATCATCCTCATCATCATCATCATCAGCATCATCATCATCATCAGTATAAGTACCAGCAGCAACAGCATCAGCAGCAGCATCACCATCATCACCATCGTTATCATCATCATCGTCGTCATCATCATCATCATCATCATCGGAATCGCCATCATCATCATCATCATCATCATCATCATCATCAGCATCAGTATCAGCAGCAGCATCAGACTCACCATAATCGTCGTTTTCATCAGCAGCATCATCAGCAGCAGCATCACCAGCATCATCAGCAGCATCCTCAGCAGCATCAGAATCGTCGTCAACATCATCGCCAGCACGACCATTGGAATCATCAACATCATCAGCATCATCATCATCGTCATCATCAGTATCATCATCAGCAGCATCATTATCATGACCATCATCCTCATCAGCATCATCATCAGCATCATCCGCATCGTCAGCATCGTCATCATCGTCATCATCGCCATCATCATTATCAACATCAGCCGCAGCCGAATCATCGCCCATTGCCACTATCAGAGTCAGCATCAATCATCATCGTCATAATCATCCGCAGCATCAGCATCATCAGCAGCCTCAGCATCATCATCGGCATCACCATCATCACAATAATCGTCACCATCACCAGAATCATCATCAGCAGCATCATCAGTATCATCGTCGTCATCATCAGCATCACCATCACAAACATCATCATCATCATCAGCAGCAGCAGCATCGTCATAAACATGACCATCACCATGATCGCCAACCTCAGCCGCAGCCGCATCATCGTCGTCCGCAGCAACAGCCACCTGTCCCTCCTCCTCGTCATCATCCTCCTTGTCATCATCATCATCATCATCATCATCATCATCATCATCATCATCATCATCATCATCATCATCATCATCATCATCATCATCATCATCATTTCATCATCATCATCATCCTGATCCTCATCCTCATCATCACCATCACCAACAGCATCATGGTTCTAATCGTCCTCCGCACCAACATCATCGTCACCGTCATGGTTCCTTCCTTTGCATTATCTTCAGCCTCGTCTTGGATCCTGCTAGAGCAACCTAGGCGTCAGACTCCTACCCGACATTTTAGAGAGGAGGGGAGACGAAGGAGGAGATGGCGGAGAAGAGGGAGAAGGGAGACAGGGGGAAAGGAGAAGGAGGGCCGATGAGGAAAGCGAGTGGGAGGAGGGGAGCGTTGTGGGGAGATGGTATGGGCACCTCCCCTTTGATCCCAGCAAGGGCCACAGCAGCGTCATCATCCACTGCATCGCCGCCTCGTCAGGGCGAGCAAAAATGGGCAAGACCCATCCAAGCGCGATACTGTCTCGGACAACGTGCACCAACCTCTGAACAGAAGAAACTCAACAGGACGGGACGATGCGGACAGTGTGAGGTGCAAGGGAGAAAGGGGCGAGAGATTGCAAGACGACAAAATATGGACAAGGAGAAGAAGACAGGCCGTGTCCCATCCCACTGGATGTCGGAATTCGGAATTCTAGAATTGGCATGTGGCTTCGCCTTGATTGCTTCCATCCACGGCAGGCCGAATTGAAACGTCACGAGGGGAGGAGCAGGAGGAGCAGGAAAGAGTAGGCAGGTGCAGAAGGAGTAGGAGGGAGGGAAGGGTTGAAGGCGGGTACAGACGAGGAGGAGGGAAGGGGGAGGAAGTCTAGGAGGGCGGAGACAGGGACGAGCAATCAGGGGCACGCGCGCATGGAGGTCACAACGGACGGACAGCGTGAAAGCAGGAAAGACGGGAAAACCGAAACCCGCAGAGAGCCCTGCCCACTGCCGCACACCCACAGTACCACATGGACCGCCTCTCTGTCCTCGCCCGCCCTCCTCTTGGGCCCCTGCACCCCAGAGCGACCCGCCACCACCACGGCGAAGATCCACCCGGCCAGCATCCCACGAGAAACGGAAGCGGGCCCATAGTGCCAACGTGATACTCCTCCTCAACCCTCCTTTTCCACCCGCGTCCTTGGAGGAATAAAGATCGGCATAAACATAAACTTTGGGAGGTCCGCGCGGAGCGCCAAAAGTTTCTGTTTATACAGATGTTCCTTCTTCGAGTCCTGCATCACTCCATCCCTGATGCCCCCCCCATCTGATCATTCTTCATCCCCTCCTCCACTCTGCTGATCCTGCCCCATCGGCCTCGTCCATCTCACGGCGCCCCCTCCTCATCCCTCTCCGCCCATCCCCCTCCTCCTCGTTCTCCTCGTTAGCAAGAATGTTCCTCCTCATCCTCCTCCTCCTCGTCGTCGTCATCGTCGCCATCATCATCCCTCAGCATACTGCCCCTTCCAACGAGGGCCACCATCGACTTCAGCATGCCGCTGTCCCGCACGATGCTCTTGAAGCTCGGCCCTTCCCGACCCATCGGTCTTGGAGGCCTTCGCCCCTGCAGGTCCGACCCACCGCGCACCGCGGCCCGGGCACGGCATGCGGGCGGCACACCTTCCGGACCCTGTGACGCGGGCACGGCCCTGCGCGGCGCACGGCACGCCAAGGCGCGGGCACAACGGCGCGCCCAAGCACGCACGGCACGGCACGGCGCACGCGAGCAGGGCACGGCGGCGCGCGGGCAGCACGCCTGCGGCGCTTCGCAACGCTGGCCTGGGCACGCGGGCACGGCACGGCTCGGCACGGGCACGGCACGCGGGCACGGCACCCTCTTCCCGCTGCCGCGGACGCACGCACGGCACGGGCACGGCGCACGCGGGCACGGCACCGCGCACGGCACGCGGGCACGGCACGTTTCTCGCATACAAGAGCAGCACAACTGGTTCCTATAGAGTGCAGCTGGGACCCCTTGCGTATCACAGTTACTGCTGAAAGAATAATTCCTCCCCGTCGTTCCCAGACGTGCCGGCAGGGTGGCCCGGGCGTGTCGCCTGAGCCCTCCCAAAAAAGAACATGCTTCTGCAGCGTGGACTCCGCAACAGCAACAGAGCACCGAGTGGGGGGGGGGCCTCTCACTACATGGGGCTGTCGCCCCAGGGCCACGCACATTCGTCTTTTCAACTGCCTGCAACAGTTGGGTAACTCACGGAAGGGGGGCGTCTTCAACATGGAGGTCGTCGCGCCGCAGCACCGCGCGCACTCGTCTGACAAAACCCGAGCACGGCATGGCACGCGGGCGCGGCACGGCGCACGGCACGGCACGGCACGGCACGCAGCGCGGGGGGCACCTTGCTTGCCGTTCGAATGCCTAGGCACTGCACGGGCACGGCACGGCGCGCGGGCGCGGCAACTATACTCTGCATACCAGGCACGACACCACGGGGACGGCCCGGCGGCACGCCTGCAAGGTACGGCGCACGCAGGCACGGGCACGGCCACGCGGGCGGCGACATACTTCTGCGGTCTGACAGCTGGGCACGGCACGCAGCACGGCACGGCATGCGAGCGCGGAAACTGCTGCGCGTTCTGAAGACTCGGCGCTGGGCACGACAGTTGCACGGCACGGCACGCGGGCACGGCACCAAAAACGGCACGGGCATGGGCACGGCACGGCACAGGCACCGCACCGCTGAAGCGCCTGCGGGCGGGCATGGCTGGGCGAGACTTGGCCGCGTTCTGAAGGCTAGGCCAGGCACGGGCACGGCCACGGCACGCCACGGCACAGCACGCGGGTGGCGACCCGCTTGCATCCTGAGGGCTAAGCACTGCACGGGCACGGCACGGAACGCGCGAACGACACGGCGCCCCTGGGCACGACACGCCACGGCACAGCACGTTGGCGGCACCTTCTTGGCATTCTGTGACTTGGCACGATACGGCGGCAACTTCTGTGATTTCTGCAGCTAGGCACGGCACGGGTACGGCACGGCACGCGAGCGCGGCCACGGCACCGCACGGCACGGCACCCGGGCGGCAACGAATTTGCAGCCTGACGAGGGTCCGACACGGCACGCGCGAACGGCACGGCACACGCGGGCACGACACCGGAACGGCACGGCATGCGGGCAGCGCCTGCTTTGCATTCTGAAACCTACGTAGGCACGACACGGGCACTGCATGGGCACGGCACGGCACGCAGGCCCGGCACGGCGGAAACCTTCTTGCATTCTAGCGACTAGGCACGGCACGGCACCAGCACGGAACGGCACGCGGGCACGGCACGGCACGTGTTTCGACTTTTGTTTCCTAGAAACGTGCTCTAGTAAAGCAATTGAGACCCCTAACGCAGTGGCTTCTTCGAAGAAACGCTGAACCTGATGCACACACTGCGCGCAAAGCATACTCATCCACCTTCACTTCCGATAAGCATCCCGTTCTCCCCGTTCCTCCTTCCTGAGATGTACAATGGTGACTGCCATCTGCGCGAATTGCCCATCGAGCTGCTCGAATCTAAGGAACACGGACACACACAACGATTGACTGCACTGAGCGCCAGAAACGTCAACATCAGTATAATCAAAACCATCAGATTCACCATCACCATGACCACCACCAAAAGTATCATTATCATGACCATCCCAATCGCCATCACCACAACCAGCATGATCATTACCTTAGCGTCACCGTACCACCACAACTACTGACAATCATCACCGCCATCATCACACAGCTCAACACAATCGTCGTAATCACCAGAACGACCACGACCACCACCACCACCAACAACAACAACAATAACGTCGTCATCATCATCAGCAGCATCATCAGCATCATCACGATCGTCATCATCATCATCATCATCATCATCATCATCATCATCATCATCATCATCATCATCAGCATCATCATCATCATCATCATCATCATCATCATCATCATCATCGTCATCAGCATCAGCATCAGCATCAGCCTCGTCAGTAGCAGCATCGTCGTCAGAATCATCATCCGCATCGTCGTCCTCATCATCGTCCTCATCACCATCGTCATCATCATCAACATCATTACCATCAGCATAGTCATCATCTTTCTCATCATCGGCATCATCACCACCACAATAATAATACTAGTGGTAACAATAATGAGAATACGAATATCAACAATAACAATGATAATAATGATGATCATCATCAGCATCATCATCATCATCATCGTCATCAGCGTCATCATCATCACCACCATCAGCATCATCATCAGCATCTTCATCATCATCAGCATTATCACTACTACCACCACCACCACCAGCATCATCAACACCAACAATCTCGTCATCATCTCCAACCTCGTCACCGTGATCATCATCATCAAAATCACAACCGTCATCACAAGCATCCCTATTATCGTCATCATCAGCATCATCATCATCGTCATCATCGTCGTAATCATCATCATCGTTAGCATCACAATCACCGTCATCACCATCATCATTATCATCAGCATCATCAGCATCATCATCATCACCACAATCATCAGCATCACCGAGATAATCATCATCACAAGCAGCATCGTCATCATCATCGGCAGCATCATCACCCTCATCATCATTACCAGTAAAGTCACCTTTAGCAGCATCAAAAGCAATATCATCATCGTCAGCATCATCATCAGCAGCATCATCATTATCATCAGCAGCAGTAGCAGCATCATCATCATCAGCATCATCATGATCAGCAGCGTCATCATCGTCTAAACTAGCATCATCAGCAGCAGCATCATCACCATAAGGCCTCATCATCATTGTCGTCGGCGGCGGCATCCTCATCCTCATCATTGTTGTCGTCATCATCATCATCATCAGAATCAGCATCATCATCATCATCATCATCATAATCATCATCATCATCGTCATCATCATCATCAGTATCATCATCGGCGTCGTCAACCTCATCGTCATCTTCATCATCAGAATCACCATCATCACCAACATCCAAACCAGCATTAGCATCATCATCACCATCATCACCATCAGCATCATCGTAATCATCATTATCATCATCATCGTCATCGTCCTCGTCATCGTCGTCATCAGCAGCATCATCATCATGAGCAGCAGCATCATCACCAGCAGCAACAACATGAGCATCATCAGCAGCAGGAGCATCCGCAACTTCCTCATCATCATCAGCAGCATCAGCATCAGCATCAGCATCACCATCATCATCAGCATCAGCATAATCGTCGTCAGCAGCAGCGGCACTATCATCAGCATCATAATCGGCAACATCATAAGCATCACCAACATCATCAAAATCCTCATCAGCAGCAGCGTCATAATCATCATAGCATCATCATCACCATCACCATCGCAATCATCAGCAGGAGCAGCAGCAGCATCAGCAGCAGCATCAGCATCATCAGCATCATCAGCATCATCGTCATCCTCATCATCTCCATCATTATCAGCAGCATCACCATCGCAATCATCAGCAGGAGCAGCAGCATCATCAGCAGCAGCATCAGCATCATCAGCATCATCAGCATCATCGTCATCCTCATCATCTTCATCATCAGCAGCAGCAGCATCATTATCAGCAGCAACATTCCTCCATGGCCAGCTCGACCGAGCCCGACGGGGGGCCGCGACGGCAGCCGCGGAAGCGCCGCAGGGATACTGGGCGCTCAGCGGCAGCACCGTGAGCACCAGCGGGCCGTACTGGCCCGCCTTCGAGCGCAACTCCCGCACCGACTCGAGCCACGGGGCCGCCTCCGAAGGGGCGGGGGAGAGGGGGGGCGGAATTGGCTGCCCCCTCCCTCCTCCTCCATTCCTTCTCCCTATACATGGCAGAACTTCTCCCTGTCGCACCCCGGAGCTATTTTTAGGGCGGGCCGGGCGTTTCGCCTGAGACTTCATCACCATGTATGACTCTGCAGCCTACACATTGGCAGCAGCTTCACAGATGGAGGGCGAATCGTTTTTTATGCGGCTCTCGCCTTAGCGCCGCGCACATTCGTTTTAAACATGTGCTAAAGTTCCACGGATTGAGAGCGAGTCGTTTTCAAAATGTGGCTCTTGCCTTAGGGTCGCGCACATTCGGTTTAAACATTTGCAAAAGCTTCACGGATTCCTATGCTCAACGTACCAGAAATCGTGCTTTGGAAAAATTCAAGATTTATGCGGGTGCAGCAGTTACGTTGATTCGCGGAGTTGAAGTGCCAGGAATGGTGTTCTGGCACGATTCAGGATCGTCAAGACGCAACAGTCAGGTTGATCCGTGGCGTTGGCATCCCGAGAACCATGTTTTGGCATACTTCAGGGTCTTCAAACGGTTGTCTTCCAACGAGGCAGTTTCATCAATGGAAATGTACCGTTGTAGGGGCCTA